GCTTTCTGTTTTTTTCTTCTTCTTCTTCTGAAGATTAAAAAAAAAAAAGCAAAACTTTTTGTTTAATTATCATGGGTATTTCTGGACATAAACATCATTTTAATGATAGTCATATTGAAAAAGAAATGAAAGGAATTGGTGATACTGTATGTTTAAAAATAGGAAAAGAAAAAACAAATTCTTGTTTTGCTTTTCTTCTAATCAAATAGGATCCTTTAACAAAATTAAAAGAATTATGTAGTGACGATCATGGATGTGAAAAATATAAACATCGTTTACAAGCATGTACGGATAGAGTCAATAGCAAATCATATACTAAAGAAACATGTAATGAAGAATTATTGGATTTTCTTCATTGTGTTGATGAATGTGTAAGAAAAAATAAAAACAATATAAATTATGATATATATATTTGTTTTTTATTTCTTTTTAGTGGTCACCACATATATTCAAATATGTGAAATAATTATCACAATAGAGACATTTAGTTTTAGTCGTAGATATATGTCCAACGCTATTTTCCCTATTCTGAATATCCATTTCTTTCTTTTTTTGTACAAGATAAATAACAACAAAACACGTTCTTTCGTTTTCGGGTTTTTTTTTCTTTTTTCGGTTGAACCTGAGTGAGTAAATTGGAATTAGACCTCGTTTTTGTTTATTCTTCTACAGATGGCTATGGCTGCTACCCGTTTTTTAATTCGAACTGCAACAGCAAGTCGTAATCCTGTTTTTAGACTAATGTCGGCACGTACACAAGCTACATCAGCTGCACCAGCATCAGGATCAGCGGCAGATATGCTTTTTACATTTGCTTCACCATCTGAAGTATATTATTATGACATTAAAAAAAAAGGACTAAATGTAAAAGTATACTTTTATTTAGGTTTTTTATACTCAAGCAAAGAATGTTCGTCAAATTGATGTTCCTACAATGAGTGGTAATATGGGTATTCTTGGTATGTGAAATAAAAAGAGACAAAAGACAATATATATTTGAACTTGTAAATTTTTCTAGCTCATCATGTACCAATTCTTGGTGTACTTAAACCAGGTGTTGTCTCGGTCTTTGAATTAGATGGAAATACAAAACGATTTTTCGGTAAATAAATTTTTGTTTTGGATATTTCAATTATTACAATGGAAGATAATGAGTTGTCTAGCAGTTCGAATTCATTTTGTATAATCAATATATTTATAGTGAAAAAGTACGGTAGAGTTATAAGCCTATAAATATCTGTCTTATTAAAAGGCAAGACTAACTTTGTTGAATGATTAACATTCGCTGTTGATACAATGATCATATAAATTTAGAACTCCCTAATTATCATGATCGAGTATTGGTACTCAAAGGGATTAATACTCGAAACATTAACAATCACATAGTATCCTAATGAAGCAACCTCCTGAGATTTCCGCTTCCGATTTTAACGTGTTTCTGCTTACAGACACTGCATAGTATTCTTGTGAAAGCCTTAAAAAGGTTTGTATCTCCGAGCTATGAACTTTTCAAACATAGATGCTTTCTGAAGTATAGTAAATCATACAAAAATATTTTGAAAAGTTCGTATCTTGAAGAAATGACGTCTTCACGCTCTAAAATACTTAACACAAGCTACTATATTTGAAATCTTGAAATGAATGTAGTTTCAAGATAAAATTCATAAGCATGAATTTATCGAAAACCTAGAGTCCTATAGAGGTCTCTGGTAAAATAAACATATTAAGAATTTAATAGTTTCACCAAGTCCCAACAGGAATCAAATACTTTTAGAGCTTTCACTAGAATAGTATGTAGTATCTGTAAACAAAAAACAAATTGAAATCCGTAGGAGGTATCTGGAAAAGTTCTCTCGTTAGTTCCTTACGTCATTGTTAATTTTTCAAATATTAACGTTTTAATTGCTTCTAAATATGACAAATGTTTCTAGACTTATAATTTTCTTATTCAATGAGTTAGTCGAGCCATTTCTACAAAAATGCGTTGGCGAGATAAAGAACTATATAGTTTTTTTTTCATAAATGTGTTATTGAAATTTCAATAGAACAGAAGGAATTTGGAAATTAGATGCATTGTTGAATTATTCAGGAAGGAAAATAATGAGAATGAAAAATATGAATTTGATTATGATATATGACTTTTACTATTAAACAGAACTAAGTCGTTTACATGAGGTCATATGTCCTCAAAAAGTCACCTAACTAAATTGCATATAACAGAATTAAGAATCTTAGATATTTTTGATTTAATCTTACAAGATAATTAACTCAGATTATATATAGATAGCTGACAAGTACTTCATATCATTTTTAATGTTATGAATAATTATTTGCTGATAAAACAAAAAGTATCCAAACGTCATTTTTGAAGTTTGAAGTCCTCATTAAAAAAAAATTCAAAACTTAACTGAGGAATACGACACCAGATACCATAAAAGATCTTCTGATTATATATACAATGTATGAGGCTTAACAATTATATAATTCGAATAATTCAGAATATTTACTATTGAAAAACACATAGTGAGATATGGATGAGAAATCAAGGATCGCCCATTCTACCATAACTTATGTGGTTAATAGCCGTTATAATAATATAAAAATATAGCAATTAAAATGTAGAGGAAAGTATCCATGGGGTAAATATTGTCAACAAAACTTCACACCTACGCTTTACCCTCAAGTCATTTCATTTATTTTACACTTCTCATATACGTACAAACAAAATGAATAACATATTTAAGGTCATCCAACAAAACTACATCATCACATTTCGATGATTTTCTTATTTTCGTCAATCATTAAAAAATTCTACTGAATTCTGTACGCTGATACTTGAAGGATTAATAAATAAACCACAGAACTTAGCTCTATATGTCTACCTTGTAATTTAAAGTGTACAATAATGCCTTTTTTTTCAACCCATTGAATAAATCATTAATTAAAAGTTTTATACACAACAATCTCCAAGTGATCTATAGGCACAATCAATAAATTTGGTTTTTTTTTATCAATTGAATTTCTTTGATTATCTGTAAAAAATTTATTATTTTTTAGTAAGTAGTGGTTCAATCGCAGTTCATCCAGATTCAACAGTTCAATTATTAGCTGAAGAAGCAACAGCTATTGAAAATATTGATTCTAAAGTAAAGAAGAAAAAAATATTCCTTTAAAAAAAGAACAAATAAAATTATTTTGTAATTGAATTTAGGCTGCACACGATGCTCTATCTGAAGCTCAACGTCGATTAGGAGCAGCTAAAGACGAGAAGCAAAAAGCTGAAGCACAAATTGAAATTGATTGTGCTGAAGCTGCTATTAAAGCTGCGTCTGGTGTTTATCAATAAACTTTATAGCAAAAAAAAAAGAAAGAAACATAACACAAACAGTGTGTAGTTTATAAAAATCATTTAGTTATTTTGTCCATTTTTCTTTTCTGTGTTTGCTATTTAATATATAACATTCGTTGGACCCAAATAGATAAATCATATCTCTTGTCTTTTTCTTTTTTTTGCAGATGGCTCTTTCTCGTTTAAATCGTATCATAGCCGTTGTTGTTCTGATATTTGCTATTATTTATGGATGGAAATGTTTATTTGAAGCTCGACGTCCACCATGTTATACAATTGATGTCAAATATTTTGGTTCAAACATTCCAACATCAAGTGATAACGAAGATTTTTCAATAAAACCATTTAAAATTCCATTTGAACGATCACAAGTCGATGATATGGTTAATCGTGTAAGCAAAACGCGTTTTTATGAACCACAAATATTAATTGATAATAACCTTGTTAATAAATCAACATATGGTTTTAATCGTCAAACAATTGAAATGGTTCGAGATTATTTAATTAATACATATGATTGGAAAAAAACTGTACAAGAATTAAATACATTTGATCATTATAAAACAAATATTGCTGTAAGATATTCTCTTGTTTTTTTTTGTCTTCTGAATCAAAAGAATGAATGGCGTTAAAGACCATTTTTCGTTCTCAAATATTTTCAAGAAATAATTATATGAAGATAACGAGGCTGATATTGAATATAAATCTAAGTTATTCATTTTACTTAAAATGACTTTGAAGGTTCTGATCCTTTAAAGAATTTTGAAAACTTTTTTCGAAAATAGGTAGGAATATCAAGTTGGCTATGTTGATCACAAATATCACTATTACAAGTCTTAAAAATGTAATGCTGAAATGTCAAGCAGTTTTTACTTATATCCAGATCTTAGTCTCCTTTTTCACATAGACTAATCGTTAAAAGGTCATTTACATGTAACTTTCAAAGTTCTATCAGAATCCGTATGAATTGAGATCATCAAAAATATATAATTATTTTTAATGGCGAAATACAAGCAGAATGAAGATAGAATAAGCAAAAGTGATTTTCGTCCAAGAGTTTCTGACGCACTAAATGCTTTTGAAGTTAGCTAAGGCTATGTTAATTAAACGTAGTTTTTCATATTCTATTCGTATATGCTATTAAACTGATCAATAAAAGTCGACATTAAGTAAAAAACTGCGATGAACGAGCAAAAATACTCTATGATCCTTATTGTTCATCAACCTTGTCGTCTTTCTGACCAATGTCACTCAAATCTTTTTATATTCATTTGTGTTGGAAACATGCGTAGACACTTTTATCATAGTGCACGAAAAGTTTCTGCCATAATGAAAACTGCATTCTTCAGGTATTAGATAGACAACAAATGTATATGTTTCACAAGGAAGCCGGAAAACTTACAACTCAGAAAGAATGCTTTCACTTTAGGCTGAAACGTTTAGTGTATTATAAGGATTATGATATCTCTTCATTAGTCAAATTTACGGTTAAAATTCTGACATTTAAATTTTCTTAATAAACCATAGCATATGTCAAGAAGTGCAATGAAGTAGTGATGATTCCAGAAGAACGATCTATGAACATCAATCCTTTTGATGTTCTTTTATTTATAATATACTGTAATTAATAGGACAATTTTTATCTTAAAATCAATTTATCATCTATGAGGATTCACTAACAAATATTATATGTTTACAAATATGAAATCAGTTTATTCATTCTTACAATAAATTACATTTATGCGAATGTTTCCACTAGATGAAGAAAAGTATTTTTTGTACCAAATATTAAAGAAAACTATCTCACATGTTTCCAATACCAATGAACATAAAAAGACTTAAATGACATTGATCAGAAAGACGACAATGTCAATGAACAATAAGGGTCATGGAGTATTTTTGCTCGTTTATCGCAGTTTTCGATCTAATGGCAGCTTTTATTGATCAGTTTAATAGCATATTCAGATAGAGTATGAAAAACTATGTCTAATTAGCGGTCTCAGTTGACTTGAAAAGTATTTAGTGTACCAGGAACTCTTGAACGAAAAGCGCTTTTACTTATTTTACCCTCATCCTGCCTGCATTTCGCCATTGAAAACAATTAAGTATTTCTGATGGAGCTTTAAAAGTTACATATAAACAAGTTTTAAGGGATTAGTCTATGTGAGCAAGGGGGTCAAGAATTTAGATATAGATAAAAGCCGTTTGACATTTCAGAATTACATTTTTGAAACTTGTAATAGTGATATTCGTGATCAGCGTAGCCGATTTGATATTCTTAGCTAACTTTGAAAAAATTTTTCTAAATACCTTGAAGGATCAAAAATCTCAAAGAAAATGACTAACCTAGGGTTGTAACTAACATCGACCTTATTACTTTCATATATTTATTTCTTGAAAATATTTTGGGTTGAAAAATAGTCTTAATGTCATTCGTCGTTTATTACTAAATTATTTGTCTTTCAAAGGGTTTGGATATTCATTTTGTCCGTGTAACACATAGCTCTCGGATAAATGAAAACAAAGAAGCTATTTTATTTTTACATGGTTGGCCAAGTTCATTTCTTGAATATCTTGATGTTGCTCGTCTTCTTAATTCATCATCAAATACAAATTATGATCTTATTATTCCATCATTACCTGGTTATGGCTATTCAGATGCACCTTTACGTCCGGGTATGAATCCAACACAAATGGCTCGTATTATGCAAAATTTAATGCAACGTCTTGGTCATAGTTCATATGTTGTATGTGGTGGTGATTGGGGAGCTGTTGTTGGTACAAATATGGCACAATTATATCCTGGTCATGTTCGTGGACTTCTTATAACAATGTCTGCAGTAGTTGCAACATGGAAACATTATTTACAATTAGCTCTTGGCCATTATATAAATCCATCAATATTACTTGATTATGATGAACAAGAATTCTTAGTTCGACGTTTTAATGCATTTGATTTTGCTAAAATTTTATGGTAAATTGAAAAATATGAATCGAGAAATAAAAGAAAACTTTATTTTATTTTTTTATTTGATTAGGCGAGAAGGTGGTTATTTTCATTTACAAGCAACAAAACCGGATACAATTGGTTATGCCCTTAATGATTCACCAATAGGCTTAGGTTTATTTTTATTTTTTCCAAATTTTATTTTCGATTTATTTTGTTTTGTTTTTTTTTCAGCTGCTTATATATTAGAAAAATGGTCTCGTTGGAGTAATAATGAAATTGATATTGATCAATCAATTAATTCCGGTTTAGATCGTTTTACACTTGATCAACTTCTTTCAAATGTTGTTTTATATTGGACAACAGGAACAATAACATCATCAATGCGTCTTTGTTTTGAATATGCTGCTCAAATATCATCTGGTCATGATGATAAAATTCTTAAGGGTCCATTAGCTGCTTCAGTTCCTGTTGCTATTATTAATTATCGTAATGAAATACTTTATGCACCACGCACAATAGTACGATCTAAATATCCAAACATTAAATTATGGTTATATCATACGACTGGTGGACATTTTGCTTCAATGGAAAAACCACGAGAATATGCTCGTGATATTGAAAAATTTCTATTACAACTTTGAAAAATATCAAAAGTTTGTACATAATGTAATCACATTTATTTTCATTTATATTCTAAATAGATATATAGATTAGTAGATGATAGTTTCGATTCTTTTTTTTTTCTTTATTGTTATTAACATCGTTAGTTTTGTTTTTCGTTCTATTTTGTATTACTAACGACAATTTGTATGTAAGACTTTATTTCTACTTCAGCACTATTCTGAAAAAAACAATATATGTATTCCAGATATAACTTTGTAACGAAAATAATATTCTTATTTTTCTAGATATATATGAGAAAATAAAAACAAACTATTTAATGATGCTGATTCAAATTGATTGAATATTTTGTTCAATATGGCGACAGGATTTTTGAGCGTATGTGACCAAATTTTAATAGCATCATCTTCTTATATACCTTATGATGCATCGAAAAAACCGCTCAGTACCTTGCTCAATGAAATGACATCTTATGTGAGTACAGGTGGAAAAACAGAAAATGGAGATGAATCAATTATTTATGGGTATATAATCCAAGAAAAGCAAAAACAAACTTGATTTTACAATCGCTTTTTTGTTCCTTTTCAGGCTTCAAATACTTCTCTTGAGTGATGTAGAACGTGTTCGAGCTGCATCACTTCGTGCTCTTCGATATTCAATTCATCGTGCGACTATTTTTGATAAATTTCTTGAATGTCGTCTTGATTACCTTGTTTGTCGGTAAGTTGTTTTAACGAATTGTGCGAAAGTTTCTGGACAAGATGTTTCTTCGTTTGTCGATTGATTGTAAAAATCACCAGAAAATTTAAACCGTTGGATTAAAACCAAAATTTTATGCACTTTTCGAATATATATGTTCGGTATTATGAGTGAATCTTGGAAAGGTTCGAAAATAAAGTTTGAATAAAAGCAGTTGAACAAACAGATCTAGAAATGGCAAATCTAATCGTACTCCGTTTGAAATCGATTGTATATTATTTTTCTCGGCACTTTCTTGTTTTCGTCATAACGGTGCCCGATTCAGCTTATGAGGGAACCTTCCCACGTACTAAAAGCTTGTGAGCTGGAATTTTGTCCACAAATAAGAGATGTATAGACTAGAGAAAGCCTAAGAGGATATGGGCACAAGTTGCGATTTGACTGAGATATCGACATTTTACTATCATTTTTCTGAAGGATCTCATCTTTGCGGTAGAATCAAACTTTTAAAATTTTTGGATGAATAATCTCCAATATACCAGTATGTTAGTGTAAAGACACTTTTTATGAATGTTGTGTTATGAATGAATATCTTGAAAAATTCATATCTCGTAGATAATTTGTTCAAAAATTCTGAAATTATGTAGGAAAGTTCGTTTGATTGAAGCCTCGAGGTGGGGAAAGTTTCAGATCAAAATTCAAAACTCTGATTTTACCGCAAAAGTAGAGTCCTGCAGGAAAATTATAGTAAAATGCCGATATCTCAGCTAAATCACAACTTGCACTCATATTCTCTTAGCCTTTCTCTAGTCTATACATTTCCTATTTGCGGATAAAATCTCAGCTCAAAACCTTTTTACCATCTTGGAAGATTCTCTCATTAGTCCTACTTCATTTTGTTTGTCTGTATCATTTTCTTGGGCTAACATCTAGACAATGTACGTCCATCACAGTAATAATGCTCTTGTTGAATATATTCTATTACCAATTTTTGTTTTTGCATAGCGTAAAGAACGAAATAATCTTCTACAAAGTGAACTGATAACTGTGAAAGTCTCCCAATAGTTCTTTCAGAAATAATTGAGTTGATTTTGGAAGTATAGAAATCAAAGGAGTTTTCGAAGACGTTAATGTATCTTTTTTTTATTAATTGAAGTGTCACATAAAGCAAATGATTGGAATATGATTTTATTCAGCAATACTTGCTTTTTCTCTTAGTGTATTTGTCATAAATTCTACTTCTACTTTCGGTAGTCTTTTGTGTTCATTGAAATCAGTCCAAATTTTATTTTCGAGACGTTCAAAGATTCTCTCATAATATTTAACCTATGAGTCTCACACATATTTGATAAGAACACAAAATTCTTTTTTAACCTAATGCTTTAAAATTTTTTGTTGACTCCCGTAATTGATCGACAAGCGAAACAATATATAGTACAGAAACTTTCGCATCACTTATTACTTGTATTCAATAATTCTTTCATTATTTCTTATTTAGATCTCTTACAATTGATTTACGAAATGCTCGCGAACGTTTAGAAGCATTTAAATTAATTCGTCGTTTATTTCTTTTATATCCTTTACGTTTACCTCATTCATTTGTCTATATTCTTGATGCTATTATTGCATCAAGTTATCCAACATCAGTACCTCGAAGTACAAATTCAACACCTATAATACGAACTGATCAAATGGTTAAATGTTGTTTAGAATTATTATGTGAAATAGGTAACAAAATAACTAATTTTATTTAAATAAAAAAATTATTGTTTCGTTTTTCTTGTAATAAAATTAGCACTTCAAAATCCACATATATTACATGAATGTCATGCAATAAATACCATGTTAAAATTTATTGTTAATCTTGAACAAGATGAACTTCGTGACAGCGTACTTTATGCATTATTACATGCTGTTGATCGTTTTACAATCAATGATAATAGTGAACCAACAATACTTGATTCAGTTGATTCCAATGGTCCAGCTTTAGTTCTTGTTGATGAAGGAATGCGTGAACGGCATGAATTAATTGGAAATATGTTTAGTGTATGTTTATTTCTTTCTTTTCTTCTTTTCGAAATAATTGTAATTGACTTTCAACTTTTCTTTTCTTTTCTTTTTTTTGTTCGTTGTTTAGCAATTAGTGGCAATTTTTTCATTATGTGAAAAAGGCACATTGAAAACCAGTGATCGTCGTGGAAGGACACCAGCAGCGTAAGAAGAAAATTAATAAAAATGAAAAACGAGAGAAAGAAAATTTTTATGAATTGTTTTTTTTTAATATAGATTTGATAGTTTAGTCCTTAAAGAACCCGATAAATTAAAAACACTTAAATCATGTGCATCAGCTATGGGAACAATTTTACATAGTTGGATCGGTAAGAATTGATTGATTATGAATAATATATATATTTTATCATGTTTGATATAATATAAAAGGTTTTACGGCATTTTGTCAAACAAGAAATTCATCTATACGTTTACTTGTTAATTGTTTACTTGTACAATCTGAACCGATGAAAGTATATTCAAAAACGATTTTGTTTTGTTTTGTTTTTTTGAATAATAATAATATTTATATATATATATATATATTTAGATGTTAATTCTTGATCTATTTTATGATTTACTGAATCTTGATGTTCCAGCTGTCTGTGATAGCTATGAAGCAGCACTTAAATCTATGTGTAAACATAAATTTCTACTTTAGTTTTATATACAGAATGATAATTTTTTTTGTTTATGTATATGTCTTATATATAGATCCAATATGGAATTTAACACCAGTTGAAGAAGGATACACATATGTAGCTTGGGAAGGAGCTGATAAACTGCCTCGTTTATCATCTACAAGGTATATTAAATCATTGATAAATATGTATATTATTTTTCTTTTGATTATTGTTTGTGTTTTTTTATTAACCATATTTTTTTTTTGTATTTGTTTTCTGAAGTGTATTCTAACCTGTCTTTTACTATTTATCTATAGACCGAACTTGCTTGATAGTCATATGGCATTAATGCTTCTTAGTCTTATTGACTCCGGCTTAATCGAGGTAATTTTCCAATAAGAAAATAAACGTTTTCATTATTTCTTTTTTTTTTTTAAATTTTTCTCTAAAATTCATAATTAATTTGATCATTATTTATTAGGCGGTTAGTGAATTAGCATCGAATGATAACTCGATATTATCTATTCGTGCAACACTACTCTTGGCAAATTTCATTTGGCTGGTATGTATTGTAACTTTTACGTAAGATAAAATAGAATATTAGCTTCAGAGATGTGCACCGCGCCTAAAAAAACGAGGTAGGAGCGGCGCAAGGGACAATGGTGGTTGCCATATAGCGACGAAGACTACCACTGTCTAAAGTCTTCTCGACCGTTGGCACAGCCGCACCTAATTGTAATTGAAAATTTTTTTTTCTCATATTTGTTGCTCTATAATATTTCTTAAAAAAATAGTGCTTCATTTCGGAACACGTACCTAAGAACAACGACATAAAGTTGAAAATATCACGGAAGAATATTTAATTAGGTAAGATATAGTTAGACAAATATATATTTAATTTTATGCTCGTCGCAATTAAATTTACTAAGTTTGAACTTAGATCGATTTGTTATCAGAATAATTATTAATCAACATGGATCACGATTTTAATTTTATAAATTTAACAAATGAGTATGAAATGGGGTACTAAAACAAACAGTACCTCACACAGTAGAGTTTAACAGCTATTATGATTAAGGCGTGGTCGTCGTGCTTCAAGTTTTTTTTTTTTTTGGCGACACAGCCACCCATCAATGACTCATACTTGTCATTAGGACGTGGGTGGTGCATATCTCTGATTAGCTTTGATTGTTATCAATTCATTTTTTTAAAGACATCCTCTTTTTTATTAATTTGAATGAACAACCAAGTTATAGTAATAAGTCATCGTTATGAATATAAAGTACATAATTAGTTATATTTTTTATTGAATTCTAGTGTAATGAACACTTACCTGAAGAGCAAAGTTTTCTTTTATTACCTCTATTAATGGATGTTGCTATAGCTGATGATGATAGTATCAAACGAAGGTATTTAGTTTTGAAAATATTTCGATTATTTTTAATAATTTATTTATTTATTTATTTTTTTGTAAAGTTTTGCAAAAGAAGCTATGCTTAATATAAATGCATTCTTTGAATTTAAACAACGTACACGTCATATACATTCATTTCAATTAGCACAATTAATATATCATTCTCAACATTTACATGATTATTTTACATTACCAACAAATGTTGGTATAGAAACAAATCGTCGAATATCAACATCGTCGTCCAATGATCCTGTAAGTATTTTACTTAGAATATGTAAAGAAAAAAAAATGGAGAAGGGGGCAGTAAACGGGAAGAAAATATTTCTTCTCGTAGATGATTTTATTCCTCTTTTTTTAAATATTTATCTCTTCTGTGTTTGTCCGTATGTATTATCTAGACATCGCTCTTGAAATGGTCATTCTCAACGCCATTTCGAACGTTAAATGTAAAGAAAAAACTCTTTGAGCAGAAACAAGTGTGGTTTGTTTTGTGGTTTGTGTTTGTGTGTGTGTATCTGTATCTATATATAACTAGACTCTTTATATTAAAGTACTAAAAGCTCCTAACATTAGATGTATAACCATGCATGGATGAATGTCCTTACATTTCTTGGTTTGTCAGTGTTTGTGCATGATATAATTAAACATAACTAACACTATTTGATTTTTTTTCTTTTTGTTTTTTGTTTTTATTTTAGTTAGTAGCAGGAAAAATCGACACTAGTATTAGTGATACAAATACATTACAAACGGATAATTATAAAAAATGGAATTGGGATCTTATATTAGCTTTATTAAAAGTGAGACAAATTTTCATGAAAATTGAATAAATGTAGAAACATACTCTTTTTTCGTAACATAGGATTTTCCAAAACAAGCAAATCAAGTTCAAGGCGAGCTCTATGAAATGTAAGTTTTCTTCTTTTTTTCTATTATCAAAGTATGCCAGGACAGTTGCCAAAAGTTTACTCTTCTAAATCTCCATATTGCGGATTTTACGAGATAACCTCTTCAAATGTCATCTTTCGATTTCAATGATTTTTTTCGTCTGTAGATACTGCATAGTATCTATAGGCAAAAAAAATCATTGAAACTGGAAGAGAACATCTGAGAACGTTTCCTCGTCAGTAAACAGATAGATAAAAAGAGAAATTCATCTATGCTAGTTCCAATTAAATTAATTCAGATTGATATCTCGCAAAATTATATGGTTGATCACTGCAATGACTTTAAACTAACGAGGAAGCATATCCAACTGTCGAACAATGTTCGACTTCATATTATGACTACGAGTAAATGTCAGTGAGACTAGGAAAAGTTTAGAAGGACTCAAACTTGTGATCTACTGATGAAGAGTAATGGCCGTTTAAATGAAATTTTTACTTACAGCAAAGCATTTCCGAAAAAAAAACGGAACAAAGAATTTCAACCTAAAGACACATTTGATAGTACTGAACATTTCAATGAAAACGAATATGTCTTTCTCAAGATATTCAATTTCGGAAAAAAAAGTAACAGTTTATCATGAAATAACACAGTAATCGAGTGTACTTAAACATTGAATATCTCGAGAAAGATATATGTTTTTTTTTGCGTTAAAACTTTCAGGATTATCAAACGTGTCTATCAGTAAAGTTTTAAATTTTTTGGAAATACTATATTTCTCATAAAAATTTCATTAAAATAGTCATCACTCTTCATCAGCGTGTCATAGATTCGAATCTTTTTAAACTTTTCTTAGTCTTACTGAGATCTACTCGTAGTTGTAGTATAAAATCAAACAATATACGGTAGTTGAATATATTCTCTCGTAAGATCATATAGATTGCATTGTTTGTTTACTGTTAAATATTTAGTTCTTTTCTAGTATAAAGAATTTCTTTTTTAATTCAAAGATTAATGTTTACAATATTTTAATTTATCTAATTAATTTAGGTTTCTTGATAAGTTATGTGATTTTTTCAAACCGGAACAAGGCGGTGGTTTTAATGATATTCTTTTAACTGATTCACTATCTAATGTAACTTGTCGAACTTTATTAGCATTTTCTGATCTTCTTGTTTATCCATCTCGAACATCATCAAATCATATTAAAGTAATTAATTATAAAGAAATAAAGAAATAAAACGAAAAAATTTATTTCATATTTTCAAGGTTATTGCAAGTAATAATGCTCGAATACTTTTAACAAGTGTTAGTACTTCATTACAACAAGTAATATTTTATTTATTAAGAGTTTATTTAGAAGTTTCATTTTTGTTCTTCTTTTGTTTAAATATATAGTCCATTATTGCAATGAGAGAATGTAATGGACGAGCTTTAATAACAGAACATGATTTATTATCAAAAAATAGTGTTTATTATTTTTTATTTCTTGGACGTTTAAGTAAATCATCCGTTGGTACACAAGCATTAATTGACAGTGATATATTTGTTCGGTATATACATTATTTTTCCTTGCATCAACAATTGAATATATAAATATTTGTTTCAATAATTTTTAGTCTTTCGGAAATGTTGAAAATGGATGATGAATTTGCTACATCAGCTATTGTTGCATTATCTTCATTTAATTATTATTATGAAAGTCCATGTCGAACTTATTTAATGCAAGCACTCAAATCCCCTTGCACGGTAATTATCAATGATTTATTGAGAGATTTATATAAGACTACATGTTTTTTTCGTGGTCTACACTTTAAAAGATATTTGTTCAAATATACAGTGTTTTATCCAGCGTGAAGGCTAGAATCCATGGGATCCAGACCCAGCTGATCGAACCATACTTTAATACTTTCAATCAAACTTTCGAACCGGAATTCGATAGTCGCCCCGAAGATACGAGATACCTTTTCTCCAGTTTTTTGTATTCGATGAGTAACGTACCTACACATTTCTCCAACGGTTGGGGCTCGTCGAGTCCAACATTTTCGGACCCAAGCCCGACGGACTCCAGTGCGAACCGAGAGAGTGGTGTCTAAAACCCATCTGGTCCTACCCAAATCCGACCAGGTCCAGGTTCAAAAATTCTTGGACCCGATGGGCCTCTAGTGGCGTCTCTCCGAAGATTGGTTTGACTCTTTCGTAGTTTGGGCTTATTGTACCACGTATTGTATGCTTGTACTTGTAAATAGTAGTGTACGCCCTTACGGAGTTTTAAATCGTTCTTCCAGGTGAGCAATTTTGAATAGAACACTGCAAACATAATAGTTAAAATAATATGTAATATTTTATTGGTTTACTTGATGTTTTTATACTGAGCGTTTGTAGTTTGAGATTTTATTAAATGAACTTTAGTTGAGAAGATATTATATCTGAAGAAATCATCTTTAGGAATGTGTTTTTTATTGAAGAATTATAGATTCAATTAGATTTTTTGTTTGCATTTTATAAGATTAAATTTTATAGAATCGATGTGACGAAACATATTGTAAGATATTGCGATTAAAATTTCATCATAAAATTAATTTTAGTATTGAAACAATCATAGAATATATTTCTTTCTGTTCTACATAATAAAGTTGGTTTGTTTTTTATATTGTAATTTCTAGGCACTCCGTTTGTACAGTACAAGTCTTCTTCGTGTAATTCTTCGTTCAAATCCAGTTGCATTCGGTAGTTGGGGTTTAAATCTTCTTATTTCACAATTACATGATACTGATCAATCTGTTATGATTGAAACAGCTTCAATTCTTGATGAAGCTCTTGAAGATAGAGTAAATAATTCTATTTTTTTCTTTTCAATCAATAAAATTTTAATGTTTTTTTTTTTTTTTTGTTTAAATGAATTTTCTTAGAGATTAGTAAATCTATTTTATAAACAATGGGAAAATTTTTCTTCAATAAAAAATAAAAGTAGTTTTTTATCAAAATTTTATCATTTGGCTTCTGCACGTGTTAGTTCAATACCATTTGATCAAATTCAACATGATGATAAACATTTATCAATGTTACATGAAGAACTTGAATATTGGGATTCAACATTTAATGCTGAATATATTAGTCTAATGGAAACAAAACTATTTTCAGCTTATTCAGGTGGTGCTTTATTAACTGATGATTATTTTGAAAGACGTAAAACAACATCATCAACACATAAACCTAAAACAAAAAAACCAACTGCTCAGGTTTCATCACATATATATAGACAATTATGTCTTCATTATGATGGATTTATTCTATTACGTTCAGAATCTCGTTTAGAAAAATATGTAACAGAATTACGACAACATCGTACTAATTGTATTAGTATAAGTGAAACACGTGTTATTAAAGAAGCACTTTGGGCATTAGCACATATGGCTAGTACAGAATATGGTTATAGTTGGTTTATGGAAAAAGATTTATTACCAGATTTTTTAAGATTTGCTGAAGAATGTCAAAATTTATCTGTTCGAGGGTAAATCAAAACTTTGTGTAAAAAAAAAAAAATTTTTTTTGAAATAATATTTTTACCTATTGAGAATAGTTTCAAGTCTTTTGATTTCCTTCTATCCTGAAATAAGAACATCAAATCTGCCGATTTATATGAACGATGTGAAAGACACGCTATTACTATAGTTGTATTTTAGCATAGGAACAATGACAAGACCTAAAACTATTCTCGTTGAGATCTACCTCTATGCAAAGTTTCAAATTGAAATTCGAAAATCAGTTTTTCTAACGTTTCTAAAAGGAAGACTAGCATTCATTTAAAAAATACCATAAAAGTGCAGTATCTTCTCAGGCATAACGTAAGGATACGAACTCTATTCAAGGTATTCGTAGTTCATTTAGGTCTACATAATGCATATAGTCTCGACTCAAAAGTGATTTATCAATTGAAAGACTTTCCTCATGAATAATTTTATTATTATTTTTGATCATTCGTTTAAATAAACTTCGATAGAATTCAAGTTTGTATAATTAATAATATGTTCAAATTTGAGAATAAATCAATATTTTCCTAAATATATTATATTTTCGTACTAAAATGGAAGTATTGATTAGATTTATAATTGTAGTGTCATGTTTGCATTATAATCAAACTATACTAGAATTAAAGTTGAATGTAAACACTCAGTGAAAATGATAATTAATGAAAAAACCATCTAGTGTCGATAATAAAATATAAGCAAAGATTAAAACAATTCACTTAACGGTATAATAATGTGCCGTTGGACTCATGAAGAAAAATTTTCAACTGTTCAATCACTTTTCGATTGAGACTATTGCCATTCGATTGGTCATCATTAGTAGTGAAATTGTCTGTTTTGATTTGCTTTTCCGATCTTAGCTTGTTGAGCTATGGGCGTAGTGTTAAAACTTTAGTTTCGGATATGGTAAATACCAACAAATAGAATGACGATATTTTGATCTAAAATTCTCTCCACAGATTATGTCTATTTATCAATAGAACTTACTAAAAATTCCAGTTCAAAAGAATATTTACTTTTCGAGATATGAAAGTCAAAAAAAAAAAGAAATTTCTAGCATCATTCATGGAATATGAATGATTTTTGGCACTCTGATATTTCGGAAAGGAAACAGTACTCTGTGCTGAAATTTTCAGGATATTCTACTGATAAATAAATCTGTCTTTGAGCAAAGCCTCAAGTCGAAACACGGTCATACGTTTTTTTCGGTATTTACCAAGATAGAATCTAAAATTTTAGTAAAATGCCTATAACTCTGGATAGAAGATCTAAGGATGCTTGTGCATTGAGTCCAAACTCAAAAACAATTGATCAATTGAAAACGTTTTCTTGTCAGTTTTACTTGAACAAATTCTAATTGATAAACACAGATAGAGATAACATATATATCATTAATGATCTGAAATAAATAGTTAACAAATAATTTCATATTTATTATTTCAGTACGGCATTCTATGCACTTAGTTTAATAGCTCAAACACCAGATGGTTCCATTAGTTTAAAAGACTACGGTTGGGAAACATATCGTGTTCGATCTCATTCAATTTCAGCATCAGTAGCAAATACTGATACATATCAAAGTGCTGAAAGACGTATTTCAAAAGGTGGTACAACATCATCACCACGTAAGAGTCTCTCATTACAAGTATCTTCACCAGGATCATCAACAACTAATAATTTATCAGAAAATAAAATAAAATTTGTTACACATGAACCAATGACAGTCGATGGTGCTTCATCAACTTCTTCTAATCTTGGCCATGATTCAAATTCATCTGATGTTAAATCTAGACGATCATTAACTATGCCTTCAACAATTTTATTAAATTCTAATGAAAAAACAGATGTTCTACATGGTAAAACAAAATAGTATTTTTATTTCTTTTTTTCAAATTAAAAATAAATTTTCTTCTATATATATAATTTTAGTTGTTATACCGGAAGAAAGTACTCCAACAACACCAACAAATAGTATGACAATGGTATCATTTCCTGATTGTCCTGAATCTAGTGGTTTTAGTGTACCTATACGTCGTTGTTCAAGTATATCAAAAGAATTTATAGGTCCAACAACATGTCGTGATTCTGGTATAGCTAGTGGAGCAACGGGATCATTTTCAGATGTTGAATATTCTCGTTCACCATCTTATCAAGCATATCCATCACATAGTCAATCTCAAACAGCAGCTGAACAATCAGCAGATAGTTTACCATTAGAACGTTTTCGTCCAAGATCAAAATCAGCACATCAATCAAATGCATTACGACAATCTAAACAATTACAAAAAGTTCCTGAAGTTATTCAAGCATTACGTGCACCAACAGCTGGTCTTGGTCGTGCATCTGAACCATCAGCAACTGATGAATTATATCGATCACGTTTATTGCGTTGTAATTTTCTTTTAAAACCAGATGCAACTGGTTATGAATATGGAAGACGTGTACAAAAAATAAGTCATGCAACATATTCTCATTTAGCTAATACAAGTCATAGTGATTCTTATACAGATGAGATATTATTAAAAGAAAAAAAGAATGAACTTTTCTTACCATTTCATACTTTTACATCAAAATTTTATAAAAAAATGTATGAAGCACATGATTTCGGTGATAAACAAATTGATAGATTTTTAACAGATGATGGGTAAAATTCGAGATTAGAATTTTTTTTTAATAAGAATTTTTTCTTTTCTGTTTTATTTAGAAAATATTCTCCAGATCAACGTGATATAGATGATGCTGATGAAGATGAAAATACTATTTATCGTGGTTTAGCTGTACCTGTTGATATTCGCCAAGTTGTAGAAGTAAAAATATATATAATATTTAGGGCATACCAAAAGTAGTAACAGATGTCTGATAGCAAAAATAATGCTCTACATTTCTCTGATATTTGATAATTGTTCAACTAATATTATAATAATAAAATTTCGATAAGAATTGTTTGCGATGATATGTGACTGGTGATGAACAGGACCAATCATTTTTCGTTCCGGTTAGAAACAATTGTTGATCCTAGTTTCGAACTTAGTTATACATGTACTAGCGAAAAATGCGATATCATTTTCTAGCAATGTCAATGGGCTCGATATATCTTGCACGACCTCCAATATCCTCTCTCTTGGAGATTCATTACATTTTTTAATTCACTAGCACTTCGCCTATTCTGCACGTTTATGTGTTCGACAACTCTGTTGTTGAGAAACTACCAGGATCCAGTCGGATCTGGACCCAAAAATTCTTGGACCTGATGGACTCTACTACTGGGACCCATTTTGGGGGGGGGGGGAGATTTATTGAACTTTTTTAAAGTTCCGATATATATTTTTTTTGCTATATCCTATATTATGGAACTATCATGTCTTTTAGAAGACCAATCTAAATACATCTTAATATAAACTAATTAATCGTTGGATTTATTTTTTTTCAGTGGATTTATTCTCAAAATATTATTTTTTCACGGGAATTACCATAAAAATTTTTCAGCATCAAATAATTCTTCAGTGAACCGTTTTTTAGCTAGTAGATCTATTTGAAATGCATATATCTCTATTGGTATTCCTCTGCGCTTAACTGTTAATCCAACAGCAGATACATTCTAAACAAAAAAGGATCGATTTATATCGATAATCACTGGTCTAAAAGTTTTACAACTCACTGACAACATCAGACAGTTCAGTAATTAGAGCGATAACTTCTCGTTTTATACATCTAAGATTCGAATTCTTATTAGATTCATTCTTTTCTTTTGTTACTCAAGTTCCAAAAATGAACAGATACCAGCATTTATTTAGAAAGAAACAATAAATCTCGGAAAAATAAGTCCCGACAGCTGTCGCTTTTATAAGGAATTAAAATATCTCTGTTACTACTTTTGGTATTCCGTAAGTATAGTTTTCGAATATTAATTTCTATTTCATAGATATCTGATGGTTATAATTTAAATTATGAAACATGGTTCGATCTTGTTCGTTCTCGTTCACGTGGAAATACAAATGCTGATCAAGCACGAACACGTAGTGCTACTGGTGCATCAACCGGTTCTGGAGGTTATTATTTAATATAATTATTATAATTTATCATTTTCTTCTATGATTTATTTCAATAGAATTTACTTCAACATCACCTGCAATTTCATCACAAGATCAAACAACAATACTTGTTCCAACAAATCCAATATCATCAACATTATCATTAAATATATGTATGATGTGTAGTAATAATACAACATATCTTACACCACATGAAAATCCTCACATAAATATGCAAGCAGATTTTACCGATGTTAAATCACTAGCTAGTCGTCTTATTGCTGCTATTCATACTGAAGAAGTAGAAAAAAAACTATTAAGGTTAATTGTTTCTTGGTTTTTTTTTCTGTGAAATAAAATCAAAATTTGTGATATTTTAGTTGGAAAGAAAGTCGTCCACAAATATTTGATAATATTTGTTTATATTCTGAAGTATGTTATATATTATCATTGAGTAGTGTACGTATAGCTGCTCAACGTTTTCTTCATGATTTATTTTCTGATTGTCAATTTCAAAAAGTAAGTTTATAATAATAATAAGTAGTAAATGAAAATAGATAGAAAATTATTTTTTATAATTTTTTAGCTTCGTAAACGTCGTCATCAAATTGATAGTTTACCAGAAGAAGAAGATGATGATGACAGTTTGGATACAAGTGCAAGTTCATAAAGAGCAATTATCCAAAAACAAAAAAAAAGAATTATTTAAATAAAGTCTTCCTTTATATTCCTTCTTGTTCATATAATGTCAAATATTGTTTGCTTTTTCTAGACCGGTGATAATGAACTATCACCATTATATATATATATATATTTACATATATATATATTAAATAAAGAACAGTGAGATTTATTCGATCGATTAACTTTAAAAAATATACAGTGCGAGAATTATTATCATTTTTCTTTTTTTGTCTTTAATATCCTTGTCTTACATGTTCGAAGTGAATTGTTTTTTTCTTTTGTTTGTGTTTATTATCAACATTGATTCCACTTTATTTTTCGTTACATATCTTTTGCAATACCCCGTCCCCTATTTGCTTGTTAGTGAACTTGACGGTAAAAAAAAGAAATAAAATGAAAATTAAGAAAAATTACAAAAAAAAACCATTTAGAAATATGTCTGTTTTAAAGAAAAAAAAGGTATTACATTATTTATCATTTGTTAACAAAAAGAGAAAAATAAATATTGTTTTGGTCGTTACAATTTAAGAATGGATTCACAAGATCAATTATATTTTCAAGATTACATAGCAGAAATGTGCATCGCGCCTAAAAAATGAGGTGGGAGTCGCGCGGAGGACGACGGCGGTTGTTAGATAGCGGCGAAAATGAACACCGTCTAAAGTCTTTTCAATCGACGGTCTCACTGCACTTAACAGTAAATAAAAATATTTTGCTCTACAATATTTCTTAAAAATAGTGCTGCATTTCCGAACATTTACCTAAGAACAACAACATGGTAAATCTGAATTTAGTCGAAAATAAAAATACCGAAAAGTAAAAATATCAAAAGACGATGTATCAGAGTAGTAGAGAAAAAAAAGATATTGTTGCAGTGTTATTAATCAAAACTTGAGTATTGGTCTTCTCGTACACGTACCCCGATAGACACATATCTTCAGAACTACACGGACACCCATACCCTAAACCAGAGGCAGACTCACACAGCCACACTTACCACCTTTCGTAATTTCGCATAATAGGACGTTTTTTTTTTCGACACTTTACTTTCGGTGTTATTAAGATGAACCAACAACATAAAGGCGAAAATACCACGAAAGAATATTTAGGCAAGATGTTGCTAGACATATATATATATAATTATAGGATTTTCATTTTCGTCTTAACTTATTTTATAGTTAAATTTGCACACAGAGCCTTCGCCACAATGAAATTCACTAAGTTTTAAGTTATGTCGATTTTTTATCAAAATAATTTTGAATCAATATTGATGACAATTCGAATTATAAATTTAATAAATGAGTATGAAATGGGGTAATAAAACAGACGGTATCTCATACTCTAGAGCTTAACAGTTATAATGATTCAGGTGTGGCGAAGTGACTACCCAGTCATCGCGCTCCAAACTTTCTTCGACGAAACACCCGTCCAAAAATGAGTCATGCTTGCGGTTACGGCACGGTGCGGGTGGTACACATGTCTGTCACACAAGTATGAATCAGAACTGTCAATAGGCTAAGTCAAGCCCATAGATGTTTCTGATTTTTTGAATACATTTAATTCTATCACTTTCCATTAATGTATCATTCTAGTTTTAGTTGTTTGCTTGTTTTATTTTCATATAGATAGGGTAATAACAATCTCTTATACGACAGAGCTAATTACAACAACAAAAAAAAAGAGACAATCATAATAAACATTATTCATACAAGAAAGGCTTGAAATAGTACAATGTTTGTGATTATATTAGTACTGTTGCGCATAATCGAAAAAGTATATATCATGATGAGAACAACAACATATGATCAAGCACACAATTAAAAGTTAAAAGAAAACGTAGAGAGTACGTGATATTATTTATAATAACAGGCAAGTACATTTACATTTGACAAACAACTTTCGCAGCAACGCGAAGGAAAAATTTACTATCTAATTGTTTTGGATCTAAGAACAAGTTCTTCTGTCAATCAATATAAGTTCTGCAATACTAAATTAACGCTCAGTTCAAGAGCATTTGTTGCTGGAATCCAATGAATTTATTAAAGTACTCTCACACAATAAGACAATGCATCAATATTTGCTTTCCAAAACGTAAGAGTCAAACTAACAACGTTAGCCTGACCCGATGGACGAACTGATGGCTTGACCGGCAGTTCTGATGTTGATATTAAAGGACACGAAGTTGAATTTTGAATGGTAAACATTTGTTAGAGTTTGTTTATTAGTATATATTGTAGTTATTCAAATAAAGCATACTTTGATTATATTTAATCATTTGAATATGCATTGAATTGAATCAAAACTAACAATCGATTATAAAAACTATTTAACAATATTTGAATTATTTGAACACATATCTTCAATATGTTTCTCTATACAATAATGCATCAATTCATTATGAATTAATGATTTTTTTAAAAACTAATCGCTTTTGAATATTAGCATATATATAACATAGTTAGTTATCATAGGCTTATACTTAATTTCGTCAAACTCATTCTTGAATAATCATGTATATTTTTCATATTGTTATGATGAATCAATAAGCATAATTTTATCTAACGTCGATTATTATTAAACGTCTAAGGAAGTTTTTCGATTTCTTCTGTTTAAATGATTCAATTTAGGTGTATGAAAAGGCGAAGAGATGAAGAAGAGTAACGAATTTATATATAAAGAATAAAAGAATAATCTGCAATAAAAAAAAAATGTTTTGTTTGAAACATAACTATTGAATCAACTGTGATGATAGTAAATACATAGTGATTGGCATTCTACTGGCTCCTATTGTATTCACAATTGTTGTATCAGTAGTAGTGATGAGTGTTGTCATTGATATGATATTTAACATTTGACAAGGATCAATTTGTTTAACAATAGATTCTATTGACATTAGAATAGAGATACTTTATGTTTTCTTTATATTTATTTGAAACTTATATTATACTTAAACTAGATCGAGATATTTGTAATGTATTATTTATATCTATTGAAGCGTCATGACAATAGAAATTCAATTACATGAACTGAATGAATCATCAACATTATATTGTGTCTTAATTATCATAGTCTATTATGTTTTTAATACTTATTAAATTAGTTTCTTTCGACTCAATTCACAAGTAGTACATGAATTTCAAAAAAAAACGCATGCTTGTCTTTAGTATTAATATATTTATAGATAATATTTATCTTTTGGAATATAAGACAACATGAACATCAATTGTAACAAAAATTTTATTCAACTTAATCATAAAATTTATTATTTATTTTTGAATAAGTGAACAACTAATTACTTCAATATGAATTAATGTAATTACACGAGAAGATAGTTTTCAACAAAGCACATGTCTAATTATAAAATGTATAAACTATAAATGAAATTGAATTTTAAAAAATGTTTTTTTTTCTCTTTAAATTCATTCATCATATGTTATAGATTTCCGATAGATCGATTCTTAATATAAAATCAATATAAAAGAATAAATATAATCGTTAGACAAATCAGGAAATCAGTCAATACTATAAAGATAATTGTTAAAAATTAGCCAGCAACGTCCATTGTTATTGTTGATAGAAACGACTGACTCGAATTGTTTTTATTATCATATCTGTCAAATATGGGAATATGTGTTGATGCATATCTGGCAGATATAAATGTAGTAAATAATCGTACGTTACTTATTATTTTGAATGTCATGGTTATTTATTAATGATGAATATCTGACTGTGAATATAACATATTATTATCTTGTCATATAAGGAACTCTGTTCCATTTTTTAACCGCATACTAAAAGAGGAAGTATGCATTTGACTTAATGGATTGAATGCATAGCATATAACGTTTAATTCAATTATCTTTTGATGATCCATTATAAAAATTTGTCTAATGCTTTATCTTATGACTTCAAGTGAACTACATATAAGGAAGATATTTTCAATATAGTAGGTTTATTAATCTACATAGATATAATGTTGATTTTTATGTTATAAGAATAAGTTCTGTTCGAATTAGTGAAATGAACTATGTTGTATCATTAATAAATTCAATAATTGAGCAGCTTTAAATACTCGATTCGTATATCAATGAAACTTTTCTCTTAGCGAAAAATTTATTTTTGATATTTTTACTTAACGAACTATTATGAAAAATATTTGATTTTCAATTCTATTAAAATTCAACGGTCATTTTTATAGATTTTGTATCAAAATTATTCGTCAATATTTGACAATTTTTTAAATTTATTAAAGAACAAAAAGGCTATACATTAATGTATGTTTCTAATACCAGACATTAAACAAAGAAAATGCAAACCATCACAGAATAAAATAACATATAACTAAAGTAAACCAGATGTGTAGTACCTGATGCATAATAAACACTATTTCTTAGTTTATCTAATAATATTATTCATTAATAAAAATTTTCCATGCAAGTTATAGTATTCATTTACATATTCGTAATAATGGATATAAGCTTTCAGTTTGTTGAAAGAAAACAATGACGTTATCATACGTCTCAAATAACAAAAGAAAAATTTATAAATGAAAGAGCTCTGATAATAACTAAAACAAATTCAAGATCGACAAAGTGATTAATCTAAGCATTTTATAACATTAAATACAAATATATTTCATAAAGATAATTATGGAGTTATAAAGGCATAATAGTAAGATCAATTATTAAAAATCATTACGTGATACTAACACGCGAAATACATCAAAGATAATTTTCTAGCAAGAAAAAAAGAAGAATTATAATTCAGTTTTTTTTTGAAAATTCTAATGTATTTCATGAATAAACTATTTTAAAAAAATATTTTATGTATTCAACGATGAAAAAAAAGTTTCTTTTTTTTTATTTATTATAATTTATATATAGAAATAAGTGAAATATTCTTTATTCTTTTTCTTGGAAATATGAAATAAAGGCAGCAGCAAAATTTAATTAAATTAGGATGAAAAGAAAAAAAAAAATAATGAAA